ACAATGCTTGGAGAACCTTTGAGGCCTTCCGCCACTGTATTGTTCGGTGGTGGACTCAGCAAGGGCACATCCTCCCGCACAGTGCTTTCTACGACAACTCCATCGTCTGCTGACCGGGCCTCGACTTCCTTCGATAACTGCTCGCCCACCCTCCGACATTTCTTCTCTGGCTCCTCGTCACTATCATCCAACTCTACAATGGACTCAACTCGGACTGGCTCAACCTCATCCTTCTTAGTGGTCCCGGCCATGCTTGTGTCCGGGGAGGCCTTAAAGGTTGATTTTAGTCGGCGCATATCCTCCAAGTGAGGGAGATAGGGTGCCCACCAACATGGGACCTCCGCCATCAGGATCAGGTCCGAGATCCTTGTCTCTTCCACCACAACGGTCTTGCCATCCTCTGCCTTATACGGCTGGCACGGTCGGATGAGCTCGATGCAAAAGAACGAGTCCGTGATGCTGACAGCGCTCTCCTCCACCTGACCAGAGCTCATAGGAAGACTCTGCAGCTCCTTGAGGACCTCAATGAACCGATATTCCAATAGAGAGAGTCGTCGAGCTGGACCATGGACCAATGCAAGGCTCCGGCACAAGGCGGCTGAGAAGAACCTCGAGCCCGAGGGGGCCTCCTGGTCGGCTCTGAACTTCTTTATTTCTTCAAGGAACCAGTCAACGTCATCCTCGGACATCAATAGAGTTTGCTCCAGAGGCACCACAAGGTTCCGTTCCCAGCGCACCTCCACCTCAGAAGCCAAGACCGAGAGGCCCCCCGCTAAGGTCTCTGGCCGTCGCATCCACGGACTCAAAGGGGCATCCCAGATAGCACTGCCTGGAGAGACCGGACTGCTGCTGAAGAGCGGTGCGAGCTGAGCTCGTGTCACCACCGCAGGCATAGGGGAAAGGGGGGGAGGCTGGAGGCTGGAGGAGCATTTTAGGTCCGTGACCAGAACCAAACCTCGTCTGATGGTGAAGGCGGAAATGCTATAATTTCAATGTCAATGGTGACAC